AAAAAGGTAAGAGCACCACTAATTCTTAAACCGGGAGTCGCCTCCGTATTTAGACCAAGACGTCCGGCACCCTATGCAGCGCTACCGATTCTTGAACAAGAATTAAAGTGTCTGCAAAGATGTGGAATAATAGAACCTGTGAATGTTTCTGATTGGACAGCACCAACAGTGATTAAGAAGCCTAGTGGAAGTATCCGACTATGTGCAGATTATTTGACTGGATTAAACGAAGCACTTGAAGCTCATCAGTACTGTTTGCCGTTGCCAGAAGACTTATTTGCGAAACTGAATAAGAGGAAGTATTTTGCAAAACTGGGTCTATCAGAAGCTTATCTACAGATTCCAGTAGCCGAAGAGTACAAACATTACCTGGCAGTAAACATGCATAAAGGTTTATTCCAGTGTAACCGATTCCCTTTCGGAGTAAGAATCGTTCCTTCAGTCTTCCAGCAAGCTATGAACAATATACTCCAAGTTATTCCTGTTACTGCGGCTTATCTCGATGATATACTAATCATAGGTACGAGCTATGGTGACTTAGAAAAGAAGGTGGATATGGTTCTCAGATGCGTAGCAAATTTTGGTTTCGGATTACTCGCCGAAAAATGTGATTTCTACGTGGAGAAAGTCCGCTATTTGGGATTCATAATCGAAACAGCAGTGTTATCTGCCAGTAAGGTAACCCGTAAGGTTAGGGAGCAACACTGGATCTCAGCAGCATCTATCTCACTGATAGATGCTCGGAAACTCATTCCACCTGGCTCTGAACATAATGAAGAGCGGAGTCAGCTTAAGCGCAAGCTGACAAGAAGTCTACGCAATGATCGCGAACAGTGGTGGGTAGCGAAAGCAAGAGAGATGGAAAAGGCAGCGGCAATAGGTAATAGCAGACAATTGTTCAGACTCGTTAAGGAAACCGGAATTAGGAACCCGACCGTTAGCGAAACAATCTCAGAGAAAGATGGACATATTATACATTCTCAATCCAGGAGATTGGATCGATGGGCAGAACACTTTAGGGATCAGTTCAACTGGCCTTCAGCCACACTTCGGTTTCCCACGATCTCCAGTCAACCTGAATGGCAAGTTAATGTAGGTCCTCCGTCTCTTTACGAAGTTGAAAAAGCCATAGGAAATCTGAAACGAGGGAGAGCAGCAGGCCCTGACAGGTTTACTCCTGAGATTTTTAAGGATGGTGGTCCAGTATTAGCAATGAGATTAACTGAGGTCTTAGGTAGAATTTGGGAACTGGACGTAATCCCATCTGACTGGTCTCAATCACTGATTGTGCCAGTTTTAAGAAAGGACAAAAGTCCTCTTGTGACAATCACAGAGGAATCAGTTTGACTAATATAGTGTCTAAAATATTAGCTTCAATAATACTTCGACGCCTAACTAAAGCTCGTGAAGAGCAGACTAGAGAAAACCAGGCTGGTTTTCGACCTGGACGTGGTTGTATAGATCAGATATTCACACTACGTCAGGTTCTAGAACACAGACACACATTCAGACGCCCCACAATGGTAGTATTTCTCGACCTTAAGGCGGCATTCGACTCTGTTGATCGTGAGGTTCTATGGCAGTGTTTGTCACTGACAAAGAAGTACATTAACCTTATAAAGGCTCTCTACTCGAACACAACTGGTAGAGTGAGAGCTTATGGCGAACTGTCATCAGAATTGATTACCTCAAGTGGTGTTCGTCAGGGCTGTCCACTCTCCCCATTCTTGTTCAACTTTGTGGTCGACGTACTTTTAGAGATAACACTCTCCTCATCTAAATTTACAGGGGTTGAACTTCTACCGGGAGGTTCACTTGTTGACTTAGAATATGCTGATGACATAGTTTTATTTGGTGAAGACGCTGACAAAATGCAGAGTCTTCTGACCACTCTAAGCAACAATGCAAGCATGTTCGGGATGCGATTCTCCCCCTCGAAATGCAAAATGTTGCTTCAGGATTGGGTTACATCGACACCCGAACTAATGATAGGGAGTGAAGTAGTTGAGTGTGTCGACCGCTTCACTTATCTTGGAAGTCTCATCAGCCCTTGTGGTTGGTGTGTGACGAAATCTCAGCACGGATACAGAAGGCTCGACTAGCTTTTGCCAACTTGCGTCATTTATGGCGTAGGCGAGATATCCGTCTATCAACCAAAGGACGTGTTTACTGCGCAGCAGTTCGTTCCGTCCTACTTTATGGCAGTGAAACATGGCCGGTAAGAGTAGAGGATATTCGTAGGTTACTAGTATTTGATCATAGGTGTCTTCGAAATATTGCTCGTATATCATGGGACCATCGAGTAAGTAACGCAGTTGTTAGGAAACGGGTACTAGGTAAGGATGGCAAATCAATTGATGACGTAGTGAAACTTCATCAGTTGAGATGGCTGGGACACGTGTTACGTATGCCCAACGACTGACTGCCTCGAGGTTTTTGAATTTTAGACGTTTATTTTATTTTCAGAAGGGGTTTGTGGAGATTTTAGAAATTTCACAGATTGAAATCTTGAGTCAATTAAAGCTAGACCACCATGGAAAACCTGGACGGCCGTTTCGTCCTAGTATGGGATTCCTCAGCAGTGTGCAACCACGATCCCGCGGGATTCGAACCCAGGACCTCCTGGATTTGCACACGAGCATTTAACCATTAGACCACAGAGCGGGCACCCAACGGTGTTAATGTCCAACTAGTGCACGAAGTTGCGCCACCGCATACTATTGTCTTCAGTGAGCCGTCCAGTGCTTCCAGGTTCTCCATGAAGGTCTAGATTCAACTGACTCATGATTTCAATCTGTGAAATTTCTAAAATCTCCACAAACCCCTTCTGATAATAATCATCTGCTCACTAGTGACTGACTTCAAGAGATACTCCAGGAGTTCTAGTGGGAAGCCGTTACCAGTGGAGTTCAACCAGGTCTGTTGTGAGATATCAGCTCACTGCAGACAATGGTATGCGGTGACGCAACTTCGTGGATTAGTTGAAGTTAGGCATTAACACCGTTGGGTGCCGGCTCGGTGGTCTAATGGTTAAATGCTCGCGCGCAAAACCAGTAGGCCCTGGGTTCGAATCCCGCAGGATCGTGGTTGCACACTGCTGAGGAGTCCCATACTAGGACGAAACGGCCGTCCAGGTTTTTCATGGTGGTCTAGCTTCAACTGACTCATGATATCAATCTGAGGAGTTTAATTTATTTCACTAAAATTATGTTTAGCGAATCCCATATTTCGTTTTCGAGCGTATATCTTAGTTGTTGGGACGAATTATACAACTACAAAGGTTAACTGCCCATAACTCTGAATGTAAGGGATTCATTTATTCACTTCACTAATGATAAAAACTACCCGATAATTCAATCTTCTCATGAAACTAAACTTGGAAGAAAGGCTCTTCGATTGATTTTGTTAGCTATGAAAAGTCAGTTTTGGAAAGAGCAGTACAAATATTACGGAAACCACTAGTTAATAATTAAATGTTCACGTTTTATCGGGTGAAGAAAGCAACGTCAAATCAACCCACTTCTGTAGATGATATTGAACAACGAAATGAGGTCAGTTGTAGTACAAATAAAAGCTTAGGGAACACCGGAAGACCATTACATCATATTTTCTGACTACTTAGCAGTAAACACTCACAAGTTTTATATGATATCAAAATGAAGATCAGTAAGTTTATTGGTGAAGTTTGACAACACCTTCTGACCAGAGTCAAGATCCAGGGGTTCATATTTTAAACTTCAGTAAACCTGTGGTACGCACGATTCCCATTTGATTGTCTAGCCCCCGGACCAATATCATCTCGTGATGGAAATCACTTCAACAGTAAATGAAATCAGTCGACTTGATAAAAACCTGTTCTTAAAAATTCTCCTCGTGAGTAAACCGAGCAGCAAAATCTACATTAGGATATGGGGAAGTTATACGTAACGCATCCCAATCTACTCGGTTGTGTTAGAGAACCTAGAGGTTCTAAGATCTCTCATCACTTCAAATCTTATCATTACACTACATTCGTCTTTTTATTGCTATGTTATCTACATATAGTTCTTGATATCACTGGTAAAATTATATGAACTATAAGACAGTCCCCCTCCAATGTGGTGATATTATCAGAGTTTAGTTTACTGCAAACTTGTCCCATGTTGTTTATGACTGAATGCACTACCTAATTATATTAGCTTCTAACATTATCTTCGTTTTGCCATCAGTAAAATGGAATAAATTGGTGCAATTAGCATCTTTATATTGTACAACGTGGTAAAGATGAACATCACCGAACCATGCTGGGATCTTAATCGCTCTAGTTAATCAAGAGACGTGAAGGGTGGGTCAATGGTTCAATATACTATGACTTAGGATACAATTTAAGATCCTTGCATTATAGCTGATTTCAGTTCGTAATGGAAACCCTAACCTTATTTTGATAAATACCAAAAATACAATAAACCAACTATTAAGTGGGAATTAGCTGTAGACAATCTATCGCAATTTTATTTGACTCAAGTTACATGCACATTTGACACCTATTACGAAATGTATCTAGAAGAAATTAATGTTTACTCTAAAGTTCTGAGCATGAAGAAAATACTGTGTTAATTTGTATGACGATAGACACCCGGTAAAGTAAGTGAATTGTGCTAGTTACACCTTCTGGAGAACAATTAAGACTGTGCTACACAGTTTTGACTAGTCTATAAATACCATTTGATCCACCTAATTAGGCATATTCATGGTTAGTAAGCAGTTGATTATCATTCCTGAGTCTATAGCATCTTAGGGCTTAAAGTCAATCATCTTACAATCCGGTTGAGAAAACGAAATATTATAACTCATGTTCTATTAAGCCTAAAGAAGTTTTCATTTAATCTAGACCAATGTCGTTGATAGGCACTTCTGTCTTCATTCATAACGTGATTGGTTTCTGAAAAAGAGACATCAGGAAAAACCATCAACAACTTATAGATGCAACAACTGAACAGGTCTAAGTATGAATGTCAGTCGAAAATAAATTAGGTCAACTTAAAATGTCTATAAATTGCCTAAAACCGAATGCAAACTTGCGTGCAGAAGTTTTTAGGTATAGCCGCCGATTACTTAAGGAATGTATTTAGAAGAACCGTTGATTCACACCAATCATTTATTTAAAAATACCAAACACACTAGAAGTAAGAAATTTAAGACAATCGTAATAGGAACCGATTAAAACAAAGATAACTGATAAACTCGAATAGGTTAAGAGCACTAAAAATTGTAACAGTGACGAAGCCCAACTCAAATCATCATAAATACCCGTGATAACATTTAACTTTGCCCGTTCAGGCAACAAATGTAGAATATTCAAACAAAACACATTGAAGAAACCAGTCAATAAATTCGAAATGATGAAATATAACAAGCCTTTATCATTAATTATCAAGGATAATGGAGAATAGCTTAAATTTAGGTTGAAAAGTGATTTAAAGTGTATCAGTAATGAAATCATCGAAGAGAGAAAAAGAAAGCAGATGACTGAGAGAAGTATAATGAGTAATACATAGTTAGAATTTCCAAAACGTCTGGATGTCATTTGACTACCACCTAGTGAGTGGAAACAACTTATTGAGCATAGGATAATGAAAGCACAGATTAAATGTAATCTGAATAACGGAATATTACGCGGAAATTCCCTCTTGTTCAATGAACTTACTCCATTATTACTGTCATTATTGGTGTCTGTTGACAAATAAGATCGAAATACAAGTGATGAACTCAAATTGAAGAAGTAAATTGATGCATAACCAAATAAGGAGGTGACACCTTCAAAATTAGCAATCCATAAAGATTTTGATCGATTATCATTTATATAGTGTAGTGTTCTTGGATTAAACTGCCATCTTGTTTGAAAATACTCTGGACAAATTATTATTGGCAAAAATTCAGAGAATATTAAGAATATAGAGGATACAATGTAATAGAACAGAATTTGTTTTTTCAATGAAAATGTTATCAAATAACTACTGATAGGATTTTCAGTGGTCATAACGAGTGATATGGCACGTATCAGTGCAATAGTATAAAAAAAGTTCCAATGGACACCATATTCTACAATATTCTGATGATAATTTAACATTTGGATTAATAATGTTCGTAATAATCCTAAAAGTAAACATGGTACTACAGAATTCAATGTACAATCTAGAAACCTTTTACTATTACCTCTGTAAATATTCATATACCAAACTAATTTAGAACCGGATATACTAGATGCACATATAAATAAACCTGTACCAACATCCATTAAACCAACACCATTTAACTCAGATTTAGCAAAACGTCTTGGACAGATTGGTAAATCAATAGCATAAATCATAATACAAGAAAGTATATATATGGTGGTTCGTAAATAGGCAATTAAAATATCCGTTGGAAAAAAATGGAAATTTCCAAAAGAATTCATTTGATTATAGTTTGGTAATAATAACCATAATAGAAATATGACAAAACAACTTATTACAATTATAATAATATAAGAAGATAATAAAGTTAATAATAAAATAATTGGTAATAGAATAATGAAATAATCAATAATTAAGATAAATAAAATCGATTTTTCGATAATATATTAAAATGTATACATATCAGTGATCGTAAACATTGTAGCATTAATGGAAATAAACAAATACAAATAAGTTCCATTATTGATGTAAAACCTATACGTTTTGTCAACTCATCGTATTCATTATTATTGGATTTATTCATTCTGTGTAATATCTACACATAAATGTGTAGATATTGTGAGCAAGAAACGAATGAAGTCTAAAGTAAATAAGAAGAAATATTAGAAAGTTTAATTAAAAAAAGTATTTAATTACTTTAAAAGTATAAATGTGAAAAACATACCCCCCTACTTTTAAACATACATACACCGGAATATTATACAATTAATTCATTGGAAATAGATCTATTGTTTATATTTTACAATGATGTGTAATTTGAGTGTTGATAATTGAAACTTTTTTTAACGAATTTGTTCAAAGTTAATATGTACAATATGAAGACCGGAAAGTTTTAGTTATATCATTTGTAGGATGTTACTATAGTGTTCCCTTATTTATTTATTTGAACACAAATATTGGTATAAGGGGGCATCAGATATATGTGCGCCACACAAGTTGAAAGGTAAGGATACGCAAAGTGAGAATGGAAGAGGGTGGAAAAGTGACGTGGCACAAAAAATAAAAGTGAATGTTTTCAAATGGATATGGGTTATTTGAATTTTAATAGGAGTGCGAGTAGTTTACCCAATAGTTATTGTCATTTCATTTTAATTATGTGAGGGGTGTGATACTGCCCGGGTGTCAAAACCGAAGCAGGTGGTTTACTTAGGGGGCCACTCTCCGAGCTTTTGACCTAAAGGTCTGATCCACAAGGCAGTAGAGCAACGTAAGGAGATGTAGTCCCATGGTAGCCAGTGAACAATTAGTTCATAAGCTATTTGTCTCCTCAGGATCCCGGAGCCCATGTGCACCATTGGTTTGGAATCAAAGTTTTACAACTCCCCTAAGTGGATCCTCCGTATCCACCAACCTGGTTAAAGCGCCGGACACTCACTTCTCGTCCTCCCGATTTCGTAAACACCCCCGCCACCAGAAGGCCATGAGTAGGACTTCCCTGGCAGAGGCTGTATACGCGTGCCCGTGTGAGAGCATTTCGAGAGGGAGGGCGGACTCTCCCCACTCTCGGCCGTACCAGGGCGCTTGTAAATAAACATCTTAACTAGCGGTTAAATACATGATAACAATCGTGAAACTTTCGTTACTTTGTTATTTCCGAGTACGACAACTTTTTAGTTGGATGTCTGAGGAAAACAAATATTTACAAACCGTTGTACTCTCAGAACATTTCATTATTATAGCAGGCTAAAATTTACTGACAACATATAAGTAAAAGTTTACTGGTGATTTAAATGAATGTAGCTAATGTGTAGAATAATAGTAGCTGATAGGGTAGGAAGGAATCGTTAATATTGTTTGCTCACCACATTTTTAGGGATAGCGGAGGGTCGAATAACTATGGCATTTAAGTAGTGTGGTGGTTTGCTCACGGAAATACAACAAGCTTCTCCTACTCAGACCAAATTAAACCTCGATCTTGACAAATATACTGGAAACACAAAGGATTAAGTGTTAGATTATATTATAATATAAACATACTGTGTTAACAAAAGTTTCGGTACAGAAGGAAAATATCACATTGTGTAGTGTGAATAGGCATAATAAACACGAAATTATTCCATCCACATAAGAAAATTTCAGTATAAACAACAAAATGACAAGTATTTATCGTAAAGGTTATCGTAAAAGTTATCCTGGTTATACTAAAATCACTGACACCTCAGTTTCGGTCAAATCTCTCGGCGTATTGATAAGGTGTAAGCCCTAAAACAGAAAAATATAATGTCCCGTTGACTGAGTATTTTAGTAGACCAATTCTCCTAGTATCACTATGAGATTACTCGATAGTATTTAAAATTATTTATTTATTTTAACATATAGATATTGGTACAAGGAGGCACCAAATACATATGCGCCACGCAAATCTCATCCGACATGTATGAGGGCTGTGATACTGCCCGGGTGCCCAAACCGAAGCAGGTTAGTGTTTAAAAGCCAGAACACGGATCGTTGGGATGGTGTATCGTTAATAATTAATAAAATCCACGAGCGCGCGATAGCAAGCACACCGCAAAGCGAGTGAGTAAAAAAGAGTTTTATGGGTGGTAATCGATACGTGAGTAAAGTTAATGATTGTTTGAGTTTGTAATCAATGAGAGGATAAATGAAGATATGGGTGCAGACCTGCATTCAGTCAAACTGACACAAATATGTAAACCACAGTAAGTGTAATAAGAAATTTGGTAGGTAATATTAGATAGCCTTCCATCCAAAACATTGACGTTTTTTTGACATAGATGTCGCCCATTCTAATGACAATAGTAATCATGTGCTCACTAGTGACTGGCTTTAAGATGGATTTCCTGGAACTCTAATGAGAAGCTGTGACCAATGGAGTCAAATATGTGTTGAGTAGAGACAGTTATCTACCTCAGACAATGGATAAATGGTTACACAAGACCATGGATCGACTGACGTTAGACAATAACACTGTTGGATGCCAGTTTAGTGGTCTACAGGTTAGGCGTTCGCGCGTGAGACCGAAGGTCCTGGGGTTCGAGTCACGTATGCGGGGTCGTGGTTGCGCACTAGTGAGGAGTCCCATACTAGAACGAAACGGCCGTCCAGGTTCCCGATAGTGGTCTGGCTTACATAGACTCGTGAATTTAGCTATTAAAAATATTATGTATAGTCGCATTTATAGTTAATTTTATACGCAAACGTAGTAGTCTCTAGTACAATAGAATGGAATTGAATACTTGAAAAAAAACATGAAGCGGTATCTAGTCCCAGAATGTTTACGAAAATATGTTACTCAAAGGAAGTCATGTAAAAAACGGCTAGTGAGAAGTGATAAGATGAAGATAATTGTCCACTTGAAAGTTGTGAAGAACAGAATAATAATAATTTGTAATAATGGCTCATTAATAGTTGTAATAAAAATCCGAAAAGAGTACAAATAAATATTTTAAAAAACCAGCGACTATGAGAGATTAAAAGGAAGATTAAGACCATAGAAGGATGAGGGACTGAACATACTGTTTTTGTACGCAAAATTTAGGCTTCGACTTATGGATAGTATAAGTGTGATGAATTAGAATGCTTAAGACAGTCAGTAAATATATGGTAATAAATAATAGAATATTTAAGAATCATACCAGTTTGATGATCTCCAACTCAGGAGAAATGATTAGTTGAGAAGAAAAATGAGCACTAGTTCTATACGTTAATAGCTATTGTTCCCTCGCATTTATTGGGTAATTCCTTTAGTCAGTCACAACGTAGAACCTCTGCGTATGTACATCGGTTACCATATCTCATTAGCACACTGAGACGGGCCAAATCCCAGAATAGTAGAGGTAGAAGCAGTATAAGTGATAATAGGAAAGATTAGGCATCGAACATATGACTCGAAAAAATGTAAATTAGAGAAATAAAAACAAATATTATGAAGAATTCATAATCACACGATTTGGAGGAAGACAAGGAATCGATGGACCTGAGCTATTGCAAACGATTTCGAGCTGCTTGAATATCTGGGCTACCTGTTCCTGCCATCTAGATATTTCAACAAGTTATCTGTCTTTTGTTTGTTTCAACAGATCATTATGTCAATTAATTGCACAACCTATTCAGTTGCGTTTGTGAAAAGTTCACGACCTTTCGCTGTACAAGTTAGGAAAGAGCACAATGAGAGACATTGTGGTTGCTGGCTATATACTTAGAAAATAATGTACATTATTCAGATGTCGATTCCTGAACTTCTGACATCTAATTGGGGATCACTTCATATTTATCTTCAGGACCGATCAAGAAATACGAAATGGAAACTTGTTGAAATACTTTGCTCTGAGAATTCTATGTTGTGCAAAAATATAATATTGAATAAAGCTAATAATAATTAAATAAAAACTCAAAGTCTGTAACCATTGGTTACGATAATCACGTGGACCCCAACCAGGTAGTCTGCACCTATTTAAGTGGCTAAGTCCAATTATCAGTGACTTCGCGAACTGATGTTACGTTTTGGTTTGATCCCTCCATAGCTTTCTTCCAGCCTACTCCTGCACCAACAAACATAGCCCATCGAGATAGGCGTTGGTTGGGTATACGTAACACATATCCCAACCACTCCAGGTAATGAAGATTTACTACCTCATCAATCTATTTGGGATCAGGGGAAAGAAACGCATCCCAAACATTTTGGCATTGTTGCTCAATGCTACCAAAAGACTCTGCATTTTATCAGAGTCTTCACTAAACAGGATTATATCATCTGCGTATTCTAAGTCGATAAGTAGACCTCCTGGAAGGAGATCAATACCCGAGAATTCAGTAGACGAGCATGTTATTTACATCAGCATGTCTATGATGAAGTTAAACAAAAATGCAGAAAGTGGACAGCCTTGACGGACACCACTTGAGGTTGCAAAAGCAGATGACGATTCGCCATAAGCTCTGACTCGACTGGTAGTGCTCGAGTAAAGAGCCTTCACAAGGTTTATGTACTTCTGAGGTACGCCTTTCAATGACAGACTGCCACAGAACCTCCTGGCCAACAGAGTCAGTCAGCTACAACGTAGGACCAGGCACATGTATGCATCGGCCCAGGTTGCCATACCTCATTAGCACAGCAAGATGAACACTGGATTCATAGGAGTGGTTAGGTCAAAGGTGGTAATATATAGGAGAAAGA